ATTTGACGGTGGAGGAGACGCATAGGAAGGGGAAATGTCCTCTTTATGTGCGTCTCCTCCTCCGTCAATTAAGGGTAGGCAACGCATCTGCAATTGCGGATGTCTATGGGCAGCGGTCGCTTTCCTTTTCGGTGGATTCAGGCGGCCGCTTGCTCGTTTGTCACCTCATATTATAAAAAAATAAAAAAAATATAAACCCTAATGTGGGAAAGAGACCATAAGTTGCTGACAATATCAAGGAAGCAATGTTGTCATCATGTCATGTCATTTTGACATTTGCAATTGATAATTTGACAAATGTTTGGATGAGGGATCCTTAGAACATATATTTTTTAATTGTCCTAAACTTAAAGTTCACTTATATGATATTCTTCCTACCCAAATTCCTAGACCCATTAATATTCCATTCTTGCTAACCTTAGTTTACAGCCCCCTGGTGAAGGTTTTATTTAAATTTTTAATTTCCAATAATATTAAATTGTAATTAAAATATATAAATTTTGTATTTAGTGAGTAGTATATTTATTTATTTATTTATTTATAAAGTACACCAACAGATAAGTTATAGAACAGTTACATAAGAAATAACATATAAGACACAAGAATGATAACAAATCCAGTTATAGGTATACAACATTGTTAAAGAGAAAAAAAACATTACGGTTAGGTTACAGAAAATGTGGAACAAACAAGATAAGAGAAAAAAGAAATTAGCTAAAACTAAGTCCTATGTCTGTGCCTCCGAATGTGAACGTATGTGTTTTTTAAAATTATGTATGGAGGTGCAAAATATGTGTGTCTGTAAATATGTCTGTGTTGCGCTTTTCGCTGTGCAATTCGTTGTACGTACGACATATCCGGGGTATGGGTGAGTTCAGGCCTAAGTTAGATTTATACAATTGTATAAAAAATATTTTGGTTATTGGGTGCCTGGGAGGTCTCGGTGGTACACCATACGATATTCGATTAATATAGTAACATAGTATAGTAACATTTGTGTTGTCCTATTACAGTGCCTCGATTGATATCATCAGCTACCGGTCATTTGTCAATCACACTGGATTCCGTCTATCTAGTTAACTGCTACTCAAAATTTTAGTCTCGTTTTATATACTTTCAATTATCTTCAACCTTGACGTTGGCGAAATCATCGAAATAACGATGGGGTCCACTAAACATTAAAAGAAGAAGAAGACAAATGTAAACAATAAAAGAAAATCATAAATACTTGCGGATGAAGTCGTAAGGTAATAGCTAGGGTTAAGTTGGGACGTTTAAACTAAAACATGAAACACTGTCTAATATTTTATAATAAGGCCCATTGGTTTCTAATTTTACTTGCTTGTTTTAAAATTGATGTTTTTTGTATTTACAATGCTTGACGGCCTTCAATAATATTACTATGAAACAGTAAAAACAGGAAGCCAAGTGTTTAAAGCCAGCTCAGGTGTTTGTAATCTGACGAAGTGACAAAAAACTCAACTATTGAGGTTTCAGAAGTCAAGGTAAACTTGCTTAGTGAATAAAAACGAGTTTTTTTTATTAAAAAATGTGCACTACTTGCTTTCGCCCGCGACTCCGTCCGTGGGAAATTAAAAAAAAAAACAAAAGAAAGTAGCCTATGTGTTCTTCCAGACTATTATCTACGTCTATGCCAAATTTCATCAAAATCGGTTCAGTCGTTTGGGTACTACACATTAAATATCTCCATATTAATACTTTTAGTAGCATATAATGACGTCTTTGTAAAATGTTGCTATCTGTAAAACTCTTTGACGTTATCAGTACGAAATAGGGACACACACTTGTGACCTTGTCGCCCAAATTGTGTCCGCTTTTATCCGACATATGACAGGTCAAACGATCAAAAAGTTTCACAAGATTTCATGTAATTTTAAACTTCATATCAGTGCAATTATACAATTTTGGTTTTAAAAAAGAAACAAAAAAAAACTCTAATGTAACTTTCTAAGTGAATAATAAAAAACAAACTTTTTAAAATAAATATCAAGTAATGGCAGTATACATTCAGCCAAAAATTAAAAACAAATTAATTAGAATTCCAGTATTAAAGATACTTTAATTAAATTAATGAAGAAGTGATTTAACAACATTATTTACAATTAAAATAACTTTATCCTGCTAATTTAATGTAACAGTGGTATGATCTATTAAAAAAGTAGCATTTATTTATTTATTTTATTATTCATTCATTTTGAAATACATGTTTCTTGGTATTCTAATTCAAGTTGAGTTATATCAGATGTTGCATTTAATTATTTTTTTTTAATAATATGAGGTGGCGAGCAAGCGGCCACCAGAATCTACTGAAATGCAAAGCGACCGCTGCCCGTAAACTTCCGCAATTGCAGATGCGTTGCCTACCCTTAATGACGGAGGAGACACACATAAAGAGGACATTTTCCCTTCCTATGCGTCTCCTCCACCGTCAAATCCACTTTTCCTTCCCATCCTTTCCTCTTTAGTAGAGGGTGGAAAGGGAAAGGGACTAAAATTAGGCCACTGACACCACATTCATCAGACGAAACGCGGAATTGCTTTCACTTCACGCCTGTTTTCTGTGTGATCGTGATATTACACCGGGCGAGCCGGCCCATTTGTGCGAAGATGTTAAAGCGGGCTCTACCACTGTTACTTTTTGTGAAGCAAATGTGATTAAAATTGAAGCATACTTTAGAACATTCGGATGACTTTTGGATAGACTAAGAACCTCTAAATTGTAAATGTAACTATAACATAAATAAATTACAGTGAGTCAAAGTAACGCTAGCATGTGGTTTAAACAAATATTGCAATAACTTGCTTAGCAAAACCGTATCTCTTCGTCTCGCTCTAACATACTATCTCGCGGCTTAGCGATTCCAGATTTCGGTATGATTATCTTATCACGACCCGTATTTAGTGACGTGTCATAGACTAAACAGACGGCGTAATTTTACACAAAAATCTTTATCATATGAAAATTGTTTATACGATATCAATGTTAAATTGAACCGAAATATGATCTAGTTTCTAACATAGTTTATTATCTAAGTATCAAATACATTTTAAATAGGTCCCATTAAAAAGGCGTAATTTTACAAAAAAACAGCTTCAGTAATACAGGTTCAGTTTGACTTTTTTCTTGACTAATATAAGCAATCGTAGACATTACAAGGATTGTAATTATTAACCTAATATTGGGATTAATGTTGTTGTTAATCCCAGAGTTCGTAGACAATATGCGCACGTATTTACGTCACGTACTACGTTGTTCACGTCATTGTCACCCTACTAAGCGTACAATAGAAAACGTGAGCATCGTATTATGCGTATCAATCGATGTTATCAACTAAATTACTATTAGTAAGATAAAACGCCGTATTTTACAATTTTTCGCCAATATTATAGGTCCAATCTGATGTAATTAAATACATATGACTAGGCGTTATTTTTAAATATTTTTGTTTGATTTTCCTCTTGTTTTTATGTAACTAATATATAATCTAATATGAAGCTTAGTAATTTAATTCTAACCCTGAGTTTCTTCTGCAGAAGATCCTGTAGGTGTTTGTTCTGATTTTTTTGAAATAGAAAATGAGGGGAAAATGAGTAACAGTTAATCATTTGACGTACGAGTATCCCTTTCAGATAAACCTGTGAATTGAAAAGAGATAGCAAAAGGTTTACAGTTTTCACCCAGTTTTACCGTAGCTTATTATCCTGTCTGGTTGATACATAATCTATGTATCCGTTCTCTCGCGAAACGCGCACTTTCAAAACCGGTCGGCGCGGCGCTAGTGCGCGCTCCCCAATATGTTCTTGCTAAACTGACGTCAAATTAATGAACACTTTTTCCTTAAAACTATTTTTTATTCAAAGAATTACGTCTTTATTATGATTGTATACAGTGTAGGTCAAAGTAATAGTAATGACTCAACGATTACTAGAATGATTCTAAATACGTCTTATTTTCGATGTCTTATTTAGTACGAAGCTTACAAACAAACGTATTTATATTTATTTTTGTGAACTCAGAAGGTATATGATGAAATAGCATATAATACCAGTTTCGAATATTGCTAGTAATTTGCATTTATTGAGTGTTTTTACGACTTCTGTCTGGCAACACCTACTGTTAATATTGAAAATTAACCAGTCAGATTTATTGCCTTTATATTTTTATTGCTATTGCACATACAATATTTGTATAGATATTAAATTAAAATTTTTAACAGACCTTAAAATGTGAGATTTAAAAACATTTAAAATTTTAAAAATGCGCAGATAAAAACAGTTAAATGATTAATGTAAATTCAACAAAACTCAATCACTTTCAGTTAAATCCGGTGTGATATCACATTATAACAGTTAAAATAATTTTCGTCGAAATTATAATTGCTCAGTTTAACCAGCCAGACATCGACTTGACACAGAGTCGATACCGACATCCTTTCCTAACTCTATAAGGCAGTTCGATTCCCAACCTCCAAACGAAGAATATATCAAGACAATCTTGACTTCATATGTAATTGCGCTTAACAAGAATTTTAAGCTTTTCTTGATATAAGGAAGTTGTTTTTTAACTTGTCCGTTTAAACTTTCTATAATTTAATCACCATCTATTTATGTTAGAAAATAATAAATAAAAAAATAATAAAAATCCGCGTCAACTTAAATACCAAAATACATCCGTAGATTGGAATATTAAAACTTAATTAGCATACGAACCGTGAATAGCTATTTAAATACGGTCCAGTCCGATGATGCGAGGAAAAGAGATTACATTTACATAATAAGGACGTTTAAATGATATCGCCTATTTTAGGAGAAAATGTAATTTATGAAAACCGGTCTCACATCTCTTCAGATATAAGCAACAGGGTAGATTTATTATTGTTTATGCAGAGAATATTAAATGTATACATAGCCAAAACAGCCAAGTGATATTAAATCCCCACATGACATTACTTGAAAAGTAAAACAAAAGCTGTACATACATCGTAGCTCCATGTGCAGGAGACGCCGGCGAACTTGGCGACACAACGGCCCAGCTCGACGTCTTCATGCGTGGTGTAGAGGTGCTTGAGGCAGTACTTCACGTGCGGCGCGACGCGGCGCAGCGTCTCACGCGAGATGAGCACGCCGGGCCCACCCATACAGAAGTTCTCGTTGTATTCTAGCGCCAGCGCGTCGCGCTCCGCCGCCGTGCCGCGCCCCGCTTGCCCGATGAACTGCGGCTTGCGGCTGTCCACCGAACGCAGGAACTCGCCCAACTTGTCGCCGCGCACGTACACATCATCGTCCGCACGCATGAACCACTCGAACCTATCCCCGTACTTCTCGTACATGTATAGGAGCATCAGGAACGACTTCTTCTGCGGCGGGTAGCTGTCGTCCACGAAGCGCAACGGCACCAGCGGCAGGCCAGGAGCTCGCGACACCTCCGAGCTGAAGAACGCGATGCGGCCGGGCAGATCCTGCGCCCACGTGTCGTATACAGCCCGTGCGCGCGACTCCAGGTACTGCTCCGCGGTCATCACGCCCACAAACACTAGAGTTCTGTTAGAATTCTCCACTGTCTCCTCGGACCTTAAACCTATGATACTCAGTGGATCCGGATCCACGTACAGTTTCCCAGCTTCAGGACATGCCTGGATTGAAGTCCGCGAAGATGTTTTTAAACATAGTTTGAGGAAGACCCCGAGGGTGACGCCGGCGACGACGCCGGCCACCAGGTGCATCCACCTGCTCCTCCGCGGCATCGCGACCCGCCTTTACCAGCGACCACTGACACACTTCGAGAAAAGGTACATTCCACGAATATACTCTTTATCCCTTTTCCGTCGCAAGGGGTAGACATTAGCGGGCAAACACTCTGTTCACTTTCGATCGATCACATGGCCGATACGGGCGCATCACGCGAAATGAGCCACTATCGCGTCGACATGAGCTATATATCGAATTTTGCAGATGTTATCGGAGCGAACACGATCGTGAGCGGCGCGTGTCGAAATGCGATCCGCACATTCTGCACTCACTACGAGCATTCAACGCGAACGAACGACTCGTGCGCCGGCTGCCGTGCAACTGGAACGTTGAATCGCCTCAAAACAAAAAGCAGCGGTAATTCGGACCGTCCGCAGCAATTGCGCCTTCCCGCTCGCGCGTGCGGTGTCCGCGTGCTGCCGTCTCGATCGCGGCCAGCGTTGCCGCCTTGTGAACTTGTCCCATTCACGGGCGACGCGCGGCGGCCAGCGGCCAGCGACAGACAGACAATAGCCGACCGCTGTCTGGCGGCCGGCCGGCGACTGCAGCCATAATTTGTTTCCACATTTTACGACAAAATGCGCCAACTGCAAAAAGATCTTGAATTACTCTAGTAGTATGTATAGCCACGTATACGTAGGAGTATTGAACTAACTAACCTGATAGGAAGGTGTTACTAAGCAGAAAGAATGGTTTTTCGAACTTTATTTATCGTATTACTATTTGGACCCTTTTACTTCCACCGCTCCCTTTGTCTAAGTATACAAAAAACATAAAAAGTGTTGTTGTTCCAAAAAAAAATTCAATCGCAGAACTCAATTTACTTCTTCGTGCAATGGATGAAGAAACTAAGTGATTTTAAAAATAAACAGTAAAGAATAAAGCTCTCGATTAGCTGAACCTGAATTGGTTGAGCACGCGCGCCCAGCAGCCCGCGGCATCGTGGACGAAGTTTACCAAACAGACCGCCAAACAAACTCTCAATGCCACACAAACAATACTCCAAATATAACTGCAACTTAACCGTTCGTTGAATTTCTAGAGCAGGGTTCAACCCTCATTTGTTTCGGTACGATTAGTTTCTACAAAAATACGTTCTAGGCTTCAAGTAAGGGTAATTTTGACAAAATTGGCATGAAAAAGCATTTGGTATAAAAATAATTTGAACATGTTAATTTAATCTTAGATTTAATATATTCTACACTAAGGTTAACTTTTGTATTTAACTAAATTGTGATTAGCCTATAAAGTTTAACCGAAGTTTATTAAGTTTTACAGACAAATTTAAACTATGCCAACGAACTTGTATGATCCTAGCGAAGGCATGCGTTCTCAAATGAGTAAGTTGATACTTTTTTATTAGTTCGCCGAAATGTTAATGAATGTAAAACGTTCATCTCGGTCTTGTGTGACCCGAAGCGCGGTAATGAACCAGTAGGGTGACCATAGACAATTTCAACCATACTACGGATGCAAAGAAAACAAAAGCGTCGCCATCTAGGATAGTCAAAGAGAGCATTCATATGATAAGATCTTATTCGAAGTAGTTTTTGTATCTATTTTACACTTTTTGATTCTTTAGAGGCGGAAGCGGAGAGAGTTGGAGTATATTTGTTGCATAATAGTATTTTAAAATTACATTTATCAATATAGCTTCTAAAAATCTAGAAATATATATCATATTTCAGTGTTTTATAGTTTTCGTCATAAAATTTGCTGAACGACGTTAAGTAGTTATTTTTAAATTTTTAAAAATACGAAGTCATTTTATATTTTGCCGGATATCTCAAAGTGATTGCGACATAAAACGTTATTGAGAACATTGTTAATATTATCTTATCATTGTAACATATAATAATTAAACTCAACATGAAGAATTAAATTAGAAAAATGATAGATAATCTCGTACTTAACATTTTACATAGAAAAAGACATGAATACATAATTGCATTATTGTTATCAATTATGTTCAAATATGGCTTTAAAAAAACATTTATCGATGTTTTCTTTCACTTTGATGATACATTTTGCCGCGTTTAATACCAAATTCATGTTCATCCATAGACAAGAAGTGTAAGGAATAAAAAAGATAATTGAATTAATTTGTAACATTTCGAAAAGCATAGTAACAGATATGTTAACAGCTGTTTCATTAGAAAATTCCAAACTTTACATACTTTATAAGCATTTTTGATTGGAAGTTATGAATGACGTGTTGTGCTAGGATAAAGCGTCTAAACACATTAATATTAAAATAGGATCAATTCAGGACATGGTCGCCCTAAATGCACTTTTTTCTCATCGTAAACTTAACATTGACACGAACAAAAACAGAGGTTCATAAATGACGCCGACACGACGTCATTCCGCAGTAAGGATGCAACAAAGCTGGCTTGCAACCCGACTGTCCCACATGTGTTGACGTAGTCATTTGGGAGACAGATGGCTTTTCATGGCCATTGAAAGTTCTTAAGCTACCTTCACACTGGCATAAGGTAATGTTTGACTTTTACAAATTGGAATTTAGGTTATTTTAACTAGGGTATATGTTGGTGTTTAAGATGTCGAAAGTGACTACTTCATAATTTGTTGAATTTATTGTAGCTTAATATTTTGAATTTAACAGTTGTGATAAATTTAGTCATAACATTCCTTTTTAGTATAATTAAGCCCATTATTTCTAATTGGGGTGAAGATACAGCTTTCTACTTCTACTACTATTGATTTTTTACATAACCCTTGTACACTTGCCCTAAGAAAAGTAATGTTCTATTTTTATGCAGACTCTATCACTTTATTCAAATAAAAAATGTTGACTTAAAAAGAATGATAAAGGCGTGAGATTTGCAATGCAGTTAATATTCAGTATTCGTTATAAAACAAGACATTTCCAAAAGATTATAAAACTTAACAGTGGTAGAGCCCGCTTTAACATCTTCGCACGAATGGGCCGGCTCGCCCGGTGTAATACCACGACCACACAGAAAATAGGCGTGAAGTGGAAGCAATTCCGCGTTTCGTCTGATGAGTGTGGTGCCGGAGGCCTAATTTAATCCCTTTCCCTTTCCACCCTTTTCTTGAGAGGAAAGGATGGGAAGGAAAAGTGGATTTGAGGTGGAGGAGACGTATAGAAAGGGAAAATTTCCTCTTTATGTGCCTCTCCTCTTCCGTCAATGAAGGGTAGGCAACGAATCTGCAATTGCGGATGTTTATGGGCAGCGGTCGCTTTCCATTTCGGTGGATTTAGGTGGCCTCTTGCTCGTTTGCCACCTTATATTATAAAAAAAAAAATTAACTAAAGACCGTCTGCGAGGAGTTGAAAAAGATTCTGGTTGTAAATGCCTATGTTTCTCATCATTAGTCTAACTATCTAATGGATTAAAAAAAATAGAAATTGGTCCATTATTTTTTAAGTTTAATCCTTATAAACAAAAATATAAATCTATCCCTTTTATTAGGTAGCACAGATTCGAGGTAAATATGTCATGTCAATTTTGAATAACAAACTTCGGCATTTTAATAATCAGTCATCAATTTATAGATTTCTCGTGAAAATCGACTGACCTAGTTTAAATATTTTAGTTAACTGCATTAATAAGCTCTTAGTAATAAATTAGCCTATTACATTGTGATGACTAAATATTTTGTTAACCGATGTAAGTTTGCTGAACGGTAAATAACACTAGGTGGTGCAGTCGAGCAAATATTTGTTGAAATACCGAATTTTGCTTACTTATATAATTTGGTAAACATAAACGTTACGCATTTGCAATACATACAACTTACTACATCACGCGACTTTGTTTGTGAAAAATAAAGTTTTTCGTATAGTTTTTAACGCTCGCCGTTTTATAATCTGTCATTTCTTTTATATTCCTAAAGAAAAATAAATAAAATAACAAGCAATCATCGTCTATAACATTTATTTGACAAGCACGAAAGCAACTGTAGAAAAAAATATAAATCCATACGTTGTATAGATATTAAATTTATTTAAAATTTAGCCTTACAGCAACAATGTAATTATCACCAACATGTTATTAAAATAATAAGATCAGCCCAGACACAGATAAAAATATCTATTTTATTAAATTTTTACTTATAGGAGTCACACAACGTTGTCTATGGTTGCTGTAATGCTAAATAATGTTACCCAATAAAAATCAAAACATCATAACGCTACTTTTTATACATTTTTAAGGAATCACACTGGCAGAAATAATTCCATGGACGAATTAAAATAATTAAAACTAATTGCACAGCTCCTTATATTTATTTATATAATCTATGTCCGCGTAGTTCTAACATCGAGAATATTTTAAAATATATAAAATATTTACCATTCTGTACAGTTGGAAATTTTAAGTATACCTTTAAATTCTGAGAAATTCCAACAACATATATAAAGTATCACGTAATCACACATCCGAAAACGTTAACCAACATTCAATTCTTATTTAGACATTAATAGTGGGAATCGAGATTTTGACAGAAGGCACATCAAAGATCAAGCCATGAAATACAATAGGTTCTTAATTACAATTTTATAATCTTTCGGCAAGTTGTGATGTCCTTGCATCATGCTATATCATAGTTATATGCGCCACTACAAGAAATATTTAAGGTTAAAATATACTAAACAGTATCAAAATGTATGAGCATTTGTCTCCTTACTTTATGTTCTGATATCGGCAAATAAGATGATGTAACAATATACAACTTCTGTATGGAATGTTGAAAATTTCAACAGTTCATGGTTTCATATTTCGTTTGACAAAAATAAGGAATCATTCATATAGACTGATAGATTTTACAATTGAAAAAAAAAATTAAAATTACTATTCGTTTTAAAGAGTATTTAACAAGCTCAATGCTATCTCTATGCTTTATATTTAAAAATACAGACATCTATTACACAATAATCCATTATTTTACATATTAGAGATAGAAATATATTACATTTAAATGCCATAAAATTTACACATTACTCTCACATAGTCTAAGAAAATAAACAACCAAAAGCATAAAATTCTGATAAATACAATTTAAATTAAAATACAAGTTCAAGTTCTTAAAATTACTAATAATTTTAATTAAATAAGATAAATCTACTGTCTCATTTTCTCAAATCTATCACAAAACTTTATGAACTGTAAAATCTGTGCAAACGCATTTCCCTTCTGACATACCTCTTTACTCTATGGTAATCAAATAGGATGACAGTAACACACACTTATCTATATCCAAAATCTATTTTTATCGACCTTTTTCACACTGACTTTACAATAAAATATTTATTGCTGAAATAAAAACATAAATTTGCTAAATATCGATAGCAAAAACAAATATATTGAAAATTTGATTATCAACAACTAACCCCTACTTTCACAGCGCAAGACTCGGCATTACTCATATTGGTAGATTTCTTCTTGTAGTCACATTTACATCAATTTCCTAATTAAAGAGAAAACTGACTCAGCTATCCATTCTTTCCATGTGTCCAAACAGAAATTTCTTTACGTAGAAACTAGTTCGTCTAAAGCCTTCTCTTTGTCGAAGTTGTGTTTCGAGCACGCAGAAAAAACACCAGCTTCCGGGAATCCGAGGTCCAATAACTCGCCAACAACTAGAAGACATTCTATTATCTGCAATTGACAAACAAGTAAATTTAGCACATACCCTTCTTAAGCCACTTTAACACTGAAATAGAATAAGGGTTTTTTTTATATAAAAAAATGAGCAAGCGGCCACCTAAATTTGCCAAATTGGCAAAGCTATCGCTGTCCTTAGACATCCGCAATTGCAAATGCCTTGCTTACCGTAAATCGACGGAGAAGGAGACGCACATAAAGAGGATATTTTCCTTCCTATGCGTCTCCTCCACCGTCAAATCCACTTTCTTATCCAATCCATTCTTTAATAGAAAAATGTGGGACAGGAAAGGGACTGAAATTGGGCCTCCGGCACTACACTTATCAGAGGAAATGCGGAATTGCTTCCACTTCACGCCTGTCTTCTGTGTGATCGTGGTATTACACCGGGCGAGCCGACCTATACAAGATGAACACTAAAAATGTCTTATAAGTCATAACCATCTATTTTGTTAAATATAATAATGGCCATGACTCTGTCTTGTGCCATTATAATTGGACTAAAATAAGTCTAAGTAATGTGTCGTCATAGATTATAATTGAATTACAGACGCGACATGGCGTTGATCAATCAACACTGTCTTGAGGTCAGTGCTCAGACACAAACTGGCATCATATATTAAGTATGGTAGTATACTGGATTACAGGTGTACATATTATGTCTTACGAATGTAGTAAGTTATGAACAAAATATATATTACATTTTACAATAACGGAAAAAGTACAGTTTTATCCTGATCGAGTAGGAAATTGTAATTATTTAATCAACATTTTGTATAAATAGACATAAGGTTTATATTAAAGATGAATCATAAAAATAATATATAGCGGTTTTGAGATATTTTGGCAGCTCTTAACTTCATGCAGGTCACTATTCTAAATACAATTCAAGGTGTAGCAGGGTAAAGTGGGATGTGGGTGGAGGATACTGTGCAGAACACCAAAGACCTTTAGCCACCAAGATATTTGAAAAGAACTACATCAAAGTTTATCATATCTTCGTATTAACTGAATAAATATTTACCCTTTTATCATTTTCGCCAACCAAGAGACACACCCTAGCAACCCTGTCCAAGGGGAAGCCCATAGCATGTATCCTGTCACAAACATTTTTCTTTGCTATTGGAAATTGTTCATAAGGGTTTGGTAATCTAACACTTTTCTTTTTTCTCCGTTCTTTCTTTTCACTGATCGAAGATGGTTTTGCTGAAACATTTGGCGCAGGGCTAGCATTACATGACCTTTCGCTGGCTCTTAGTTTCGCAGAGGCTAGTTCCTCATTCAATTCTCTGACTATATCAGGCACACTCCGTGAACGAGACTTCATTGTGTTCTGTGAACTAGCTGTCATTGTCTGATCATCAACTGGTTGGTCTATTGGTTCATTTGTGTTATAACTTGCTACACTTGTGTATTGCATTGGACCCTGAGGGTAGTGAAAATAATAAGGATGCGGTATAAATGTAGACCCATTATTAACCTGCGTGACTTCACTCGTAGTTGGTGCGGGGTTACTGTAACATAGATCAGGACCAGCCTGTGCTGGGACATAGTACTGATAATTTGGCATATACATGTTCATATTATCCATAGGTATAGTTTCACACGCATTTTCAGGTGCTATATAATACCCGTTGGATATTGGATAGTGTTGTGGGGACACATATGTTGCATTTGGACCTTGTATTGTCTGTTCCATGTAAGGATTGGGTAAGTACGCTACACCTTCCATTTGCGCTTGTGTTGCACAGTTTGTGTACCCTGTGTAGCTTTGATCCGGTACATAAACTCCTTGAACAGGGCAATTGGTTGTGGAATCTCTTTGCAACACTTGTGCTAACATCTCCATATCATTTAAAGTCTTCAGTTCAATATTATCAAATGGACTTGATGTGTCATTTTCAAAATCTCTAAATGTTAATGTGTCAATATTATGATTGTATTGAGGTATTTTACCAATTTTTGAACTCATTTTTAATTCCTGTAATGGATCTGGATCATCTAAAAGATTCTGCTGGTAGCTGGTCTGCACTTGCACTGGCTGAAGAATATTCTGCTGGGACTCCTGGGTGGTAACCACATATGGCTCTGTACATACAGCTTTATCAACCTCAAGGGCAGTTTCTTCAATTGGGGAGGTTTCACAGTTTTTGTCTATTTTATCATCTGAAGAAATTGCACTTATCTCATCAGTACTAGGATAGGATACTTCTGACACACTTAACTGCTTTAGTTTCTCCTCGGCCTCGGCAGCCGCGATTGCATCTAATTTTTTTTGCTTTGCTTCCTCCAGTAACTGTAACCGGTGTCTCCTTTCGTTTTTTTTAGTCTCCTTTGCGTTTCGAAGCTCTTTAAGTTTAGAAAGCACGTTACCCTCGAAAGTGGAACAATATTTGATACTGTCGACAACATTTTGCGCTCGCTGTGCACACTCATTTATACTATACGGCAGCTCTATCCTAGGTGGTCGCTTGTATTTTTCTGAAATTTTAACGGGCACACCGTCCATGAAATCCCCAAAATGTGACATATCAATAATATCCCCAGTACGGAGATACCAAATACTCAAACAATGATAAGACAAAGTTTGTTTCTGTACACTTTTTGCACTTTTAAGGTTACATCGTCTTCTTTCGACGTCATCACTTAATTTATTTTTAAATTAGTATAGTTAAATTCCTAAATTTGCGATAGATTCCATATTAACTTAAAAACAATTTTCAATCTAATACAAAATGAATCTACTTTTAGGAACATATATTTGACTATTTTCTGCCTGGAATCTGCAATGACAATTGACAATTCATTTGACATTTAATGTCAACCTTTTTGTGTTGCTACATTAAAGAAAATGTCATGTGATCCCCATAAAACAATTAATTTAAACCCGAGGAAAAAAATATTAATTACTCGTTTCTCAGTGTAGTTGGTCACTAAAATGGCATTAGATGAGTGTTTCGACTATAATTTCATCTTTAATTTAACTATCAATTGCTCTAAACGATGGCATTATTACTGGCCTTTAATGGAACACAAAATTTTGAACTAAAGAAAATTAGTTAATCACGTGTGCACTGCGCTGAAATCCGTCAGATGTCGCTAGCGCTGCTTCCTAAAGTCATGGCGGAATAGTTCTAATAATTCAACGATTTATTCATAATTCGTGGGTAGATTTGTTATTACCGGTGTCGAAATACAAAACGCTTATCCTGTTCGTATTCGTATAGTGAGAGTCTAATAAACGTTCGACCGACACCTTGCCCGAATATTGCCAACATTGTTGAAAAGTAATTTCAGTGGTAAATATTCACCAAATATTTGATACAGAGCCGCTCTAATATATTTATTACGTTTAGCATGACGCAATAGGTACTAACGACGTCAAAATATTTAGCGCTGGATATACAGGTTGGTATACGTAGTTTTTACATTCGTGCTGGGGTTAGTATTTTTGGGTACAGTTGTAATTCAAATATGTCTTACAGACGGTGGTAATGAACGAAGGTTCCCCAATAATGTATCATGGGAACGGCTACGGAGGTGGAGTGTATATGGTCCCTGGGCAGATGGACAGATCCCGGCAATATCCCTTGGAAATGCTCCAAGTGCTAAGCAGCGCTGGTCGCGGCAACGGCGAGCACGGGCAGGTGGCGCCGCGGCGGTGGCAGGCGCGCCGGGAGCGCCAGCCCAGCAAGGACAACACCGCCTTCAGCTACGACTCTGATGACTCCAGTTTATCAAGCAATGCATCTGGTTCAAATAAATCTAGTGAAAAAGGTATTTATATATGTCAAATATAATTCCAATTTTGAAAATACGATTCCTACCCTCAAACAAAATATTAAAAATAGAGCTAAACTTCTTACAATTTTAGTGCAAAAGCTATTTTACAAACAGCAGATTTTTTTTAAATCAATCCCCATTCTTAATAACTTATTTCCATTTATTTGGAGGCAAATTCACATAAAAAACAACAATTTTGAAGGCCACAAATTGTTTGTGTTTAAAGCTTACTGAATTATCAAATTATATTTAGTGACAATACTTCTATGGTTTTAGAATTTATTTTAATATGGAATTAAGCCTAATTTGTGCTTTGTACCAATATTTGTTTGATTATATTTATGCCTTGATGTGATAAAAACATTTGACCATCATGTCAAATTCAATTAAATTTTAAAAAAATACACATGCAAATTTTTCAGTGTTTTAATTGATTACACAAACATGTTTGTCTTTATCTTTACAAATTTATTAAGATTAAAGATTTGTATTTTTGTATGTATTAAAATAGCTCAATACTACCAGTAGTAAAGTTTTTAGTTGTGAAGGTTAGAATTCCTTCACAACTAAAAAGCTATGTTAGCATAGTAACACAGGCCATATTTCTTTTTAATATCTTTAATTTCATATGGGCAAAGTCACAAGCAATAGCTAGTCTAATATATCAGCAGTCTGACTTATATAGTTTAAATTGTTTGGATAGGTTTATTACATGAACATTGCCGAATTGCATGAGTAGCAAATATTTTTCATATTACGAAATGAATGCTTTTCAACATAATATTAATAAAAAGCTGAAAAATTTTTAAGTTTGTCTAGAACTGATGGGCAATTGTACCAATTTTGAACTTTCTAGGGTGTGTAGCTAGCGTAGTGACAGTTTGTGATAATTTCTCTTTTCTGTGGAATTTGACTATAAATATTGTGGATTGTAGGCGAGGGCAGTTCCCGCACGGGCGCGCTGTGTGCGGGGAGCGCGTCGGGGGCGGCGGGCGCACAACAGCGCGAGTGGCGCGCCAGACCAAAGCGCGACTTCCGCCCGCGCAGAATACCTCTAGAGCGCTTCGCCACCGTTGCATATCCCTCACAGATTAAGTTCACACCTGATGATTTGCTTAATGGTAAGTAGAACTTTATTTGTGGTGCAGCCAAATAGCAGTCATTGCATGAATATGCTATTAACCAGTGAATTAAAATATTACATTTTAGAAACAGATATTAAATCTCTAGTTTAGTGTTCTGTCTCTTTCATTGATTTACTGTGAGTTGTTATAGTATTTTTCAGTAAAAAATGTTTTGTAACAAACAATATTTTTAAAGTAAGTATAAATATATACAGGGTCGAAGTGGGACTCCCTGTCGCAGGAGATTTGGGATAAGTTCATGAAGTCACAGCAGACGGACGAGACCTTCAGGAAGAAGATGAACTTGTGGCGTTATCTCAGCATGGCCATCAGGGTATGTTATATGGAGTATGAAATACTAAAGAAACTGTTTAGTCAATAACAATTGACTGCTGAAGTATTACGGACATGAAAAAGAGGGACGAAGTTCTAGAAGGTTCCTAAATTGCAATGTACTAGTGAATATGTTTGTATGTGCAGTCGATGTTCCCGCGCTACTCGCTGTACGTGGTGGGGTCCACGATGTCGGGCTTCGGTCTGGACAACTCCGACATGGACCTGTGCCTGCACGTGCGCGCGCACCAGCACGTGGAGGCGCGCGCGCAGGCGCTGCTGCACCTCAGCTACC